GACCATCAGTCAGGGTCCAGGTGTTATTATCGGCTCCTTGCACCAAGTCCATCGCTGCGGGACAGCGACAAGGGACCATGGGATGGAAGGAAGAGATGGAGAGGGGCAACGGCCCCAGAGTCGCTTCACCGCGAGGGTCCGCGGAGGCACCAGGAGAAAGGGGCTCACCAGGAGTGGGTGATGTCCATCTCAAGGGGCACCTGGGGAGAGCTGAGCAGCTCTGCCTCCAGGAAGCCAGCAGATCAACCCCAAAGCAGGTTCCAGACTCCACAAACCCAGGGGCCAAGCAAGCCCTGCTCTACTAGAGCCCCAAAAATCCCCAAGGGAATCGCGCAAATGAGGTGCAGGTGCCCACGAACCCTGATCCGGCAAGGGACTCACTGCAGGGGACTCACCTCCCGGCCCAGCCCAAAGCCTCGAGCATACGAAGGGACACAAACACACACACACACAATTGTCACCGGTTTACATTTTATTAGCCGCCCGGGCAGGTCCAGCCACACCCGAGTCCGCTCAGAACACGCACACCGAGGTCAGCTCCACGTCCCCGGCCACCTCGAGCTGGCGCACGCTGGCCGGCGGCACGCGGTGGCGGAAGTGGTGGTACTGCGAGTCCCCGACCACGGCCTGCGGGACAGGGCAGGGCTGGGACCCGCGCAGCGACCCACGGGGCCCCGGGAGGTGGGAATGCGGGGCGCCTCTGCACCCCACCCTCGACGCGGGGCTTCTCGTGGGCGCCAGGGAGAGGGCAGCTAAGGGTGGCACCCGGAGCATCCCTCTCCTCGCCCCCCACCAGCCTGGACACCACCTCCAGACCATCAGGTCCATCGGGACCATGGGTCCTGGCTCAGGTGGCCCTGCCCAGGGAGCCTTGCAGTCCACAGCTGCGTTCCCGCCCACCCCTCCCCACTCGACACCCACCCTGGGGACCCAGGCTCTCCTCTCCTTGGTCCCCGCCCTGCACTGCCCGTCGCCTGGGGGAGCTCTGTGGGACACCCGGTCGCCCCACACCACCACCACCAGCAGCAGCAGCAGCAGCACCACACCTTGTAGCCATCCCCCGTGACGATGAGCAGCAGCTCGAAGGGCTGTCCACGCCGGAAGGGCAGCCCCGGGCCGCGCTCCTCCTTGCCCCAGGCGCCCTGTGCCAGGTTGTTGAAGACCACCTCGGATGTGTCTAGCCGCGGGTTCAAGTGCAGCGCTGCGTCGGCGCCCTGCTCCTCACTGCACAGCAGATTCACGTGGAACCTGCCAGTGGCCAGGGCGGGGCCAGGTCAGCCACCCCAACAAAGACTGTGACACCGCGGGCTGGCTTGGGGTCTCCCCACTTCCAGGGCACTCTCAGGTGCCAGGGCAGTGTTACCCTTGGCACACGCCAGGGCTGCTGGCTGGGCACCTTGCCTGCAGGATCCTGGGAGCTTGTCAAGGGGTCTCAACTCCTGGGGGCCTGAAGCCCCCACACCCTGGATGCCCAGGATGGCTTGATGAGGTCTGCAGAAGCCAGGCTGCCCCTGGGATTCAGGGCTGCTCCCCTCAGCTCACAGACTCTGGGAACCAGGACACACGGAACCATGCTGCCCACATCCCAGAGTCTTAGGGAGAGGGGCCCTACTGGGCTGCCAAGGGGGAGGAGGCCTCTGGGCTGGTCTTGGAAGAGCAGGAAGGGCCTGGTCTGCTAAGACCCTGGGGGCAAGGACGATTCCAGGGTCCCTTCTTCACCGGGTAGGAACAGGGTTCAGTGGAGCCTGGTGAGCCCCAACTGGCCCTTGGGAGGCTCGGGTCTCACCTGCCAGCCTTGTCAGGAACGACACCCCGAATCCTGAGCACATTGCCTGCCTGGACGCCCTCGGGCAGGGAGGTCTTGTGGGGGACGCTCTGCCAGGGGGGAGATGGGCCAGGTCACCAGAGAGACCAGGGTGGGGTCAGGGCCAGGGGGCCGGGGAAGAGAGGGACACGTAGGAAGGGTGAGAGACAGAAGGAAAGCGGAGGCTGGGGGAGACAAGGGAGGCCCCTCGGAGAGTGCCCCACAAGACCACAGCATGGAACAGGGGACACCCAGGCTGGGCAGGGTCCAGCTGAGACCACAGCCCCCACGGGCTCCCAGTGTCCTCCCCTGCCAGGCTCTCCCCAGACCCCAGACCTCAGGGCTGTCCAGACCCTCCCAGCCCCCACCCCGCCCTGCACACTCACGGAGCTTCCTGACATGGTGGAGCCGGAAGGACAGTGGCAGTGGAGGCCGGGAGATGGCTGGGGGCCTTAAGTACGGCAGAGTGGGGCTGGTCCCTGTGACTCAGCCCGCCCTCCCCACCCTCCACCCACACCTGGCACAGACCCTGGCCCTGGGGCAAGGCAGGCACGGCTGCTGCGCTGCCACCTGTTGGGTCCTGCTGCTTCTTCCACAAGGGTCTGGGCCCCACATGCCTGGGGGCTCACCACTCTGGAGATCCCTCGCGCCACTGCCACACTGAGAAGCAACCTTCCAGCCAGGGCAGGAGCCTGCCCCACCACCCTTCCACCTACACAGGGTCCTCCAGCTCTGTGAGGCCCAGGCAGGTTGGCACCCACGGGATCAGCGTGGCCACTGCCCCAGGACCCTCTCCCAGCCCTGCCCTGGGCCTAGGACACGTGGCTACAGCACCTCTTGGTGTGTCTGCACTGTCCCCACCTCCATCACCAGCTCCCGTGGGGTCCAGCACCAGGGTCCCGGCTCACAGGGCCCTGCGGGTGGTGGACGCTCGGGTAATCGGGGGCTCAGTCAGATGGAAGCAGCCCTGACTGTGTCCACTAGCTGCCCGACTGGTCTGTGTGTTCACCGCGCCCCATGGCCAGGGCCACTCATCACCCCATTTTACAGATGCTGTGAAGTCTGGCTTCCGTGTGACATGCCCAGTTCTGCACCTGCTGTGTGAGTCCTGGTCCTCCTATCAAGAACCCTGCTGTCCTCCCTGCCGAGGGGTAGAGTGGGGTGAGGTGCAGCTCGTGTGTGTGTGTGTGTGTGTATGTGTCCTGGCACCCACCTCTGCTCTAGGCAAGAATGGAGACAGAGTGGGGACCAGATTCCCAGCCCCCATTCTAAGGTCCCAGAGCCCCAAGACTGGAAAGAGAATTCCAGGAGGTGGGAGTGGAAGGAGCTGAAGGATGTTTCTGGAAGATGGGGAGGGTAGAGTGGGGGAACTGAGCAGACACTGTTCCCACCTGCCCCCTTTGCAGGATCCAAACCCCTCAACCCAGCTCAGAGCCCCACTCCTGCCCCACCCAGCAGGTGGCAGTGCCTGGGGCAGCTCCAGGCTGGGAGTAGAAAGTTGGGGTGGAGACCAGATCCAGGTGGTCTGTGCCCTCCACCTTGTCAAGGCCTCCCAGGCACTGTGTTCCCTCAGCAGGTACAGACCTGTGCTGTGGGGAGCAGAGCTGGTTGGAGGGCAGGTACCGGTCTCCTGCAAGCACCCCACACTGTGTAGAGTTGCTGGGTTCTGGGAGCTGTGGCCCCTCCCTCTTCCCACAGAACTGTCAGTCACTTAGGAGGCTCCGCCCCCTCCCACCCACTCTTGTCCTGGTTGCACTACCCATGACTCCATTAGGAGCCACCTGCAGGCTCTGGCTTGTCTCTGGGGGCTGGCCAAATGATTCCAGTTCATCTCTTATCAGTGAGCAGTGGGTTCTGTTCTGGGAACCATGGCTGTGGCACCCTGAGGGACTGGCTCTGCCTGGTGCTGTGAGCAGGTGACGGCACTGCTGAGCTCGAGGGACGCATGTGCACTTTTGCATTCCTGAGCCACTCGCTAACGCCCTATTTCTAAATGCACCATTCAGAGCACACGCCCTTTCAGCGAAAGTTGCACACATGAGTGCATGCGACGCCCTCCCCACTCTCCTTCGCTGGGCATGGACCACACAGCAGCCCCTGCGCCCATGAGGCCACTGCCACCCTGAAGAGTCAGGAAGCACCGCCTACCAGTCACCATGAACAGGGGCAGCCCTGGGGGACACCTGTGACTTTAGTTCCAAATCCTGAAGTGGAAAAGCACCAACTCATGAGGCAACTTCCACGGGGAAACTTGTTTCCTAAACTTTTATACCACTGCCAGTTCTCACCGTTCTGTTTCCCATTCATATTATTTCTTTGAAAGGCAGAGCAGGCAGACACGGACAGAGATCTCCCATATGCTAGTTCACCTTCCGAATGCTGGCAGTAGGCAGGGCTGCGCCAGGCTGAAACCAGGAGCCTGGAGCCCCCTCGGGGTCCCCCACACAGTGGCAAAGACCCAAGTGCTCGAGCCCTTCCCTGCTGCCTGCCAGGGCCTCTGTGGAAGGCAGGAGCAGCTGGGGAGGGAGGGAGTAGCTCCAGCAAGAGACATGAGCGTCTTCACAAGCACTGGGGTGGTTGGGTCAGACATGCATTGTTGGTTTTCTTTGTAATACAGTATGACATATGTAACACAAAACTTAAAGATTTTATTTATTTTTATTGGAAAGTCAGATATACAAAGAGGAGGAGAGACAGAAAGGAAGATCTTCCGTCCATTGATTTACTCCTGTAATGGTCGGAGCTGCACTGATCTGAAGCCAGGAGCTTCTTCAGGGTCTCCCATGTGGGTACAGGGTCCCAAGGATTTGAGCCACCCTTAACTGTTTTCCCGGACTACCAGCAGGGAGACAGATGGGAAGTGGAGCAGCTGGACAAGAACTGGCACCCACACGGGATCCTGGTGCTTGTAGGAGGATTAGTCAACTGAGTCATCGCGCCAGCCCCAGAACTTACTGTTTTCAACTGCATGGCTCGGATACAGGCACTTGGTATGGCACCTCAGGCCATCATGTGATGCCCAGCTCACATCCGAGCATCTGGGTTTGTATCCCTGCTCTGTGGCCTAACGCGGTTGCCTACCAACGCACACTCTAGCGGGCAGCCCAGGATGCTCCAAGCGGCTGGGGACCTTCCATCCACATGGGAGACCCACATGGAGTTCCTGGCTTCTGTCTTCCATGTGGTCCAGCCTCGGGTGCTTGGCCAAGCAGTGAAGCCTCCCGCGTTCGGCCGGTCCTACAGCACAGCACATTCAATATTCCATGTCCGAGCTCCCGTTTCAGTCCGGCCGTGTGGCTTTCCACCTGGCTCCTGCTAACATCCTGGGAAGGCAACGGAAGTCGGCCCAAGTGCTGAGGTGCCTTCTACCACGGGGCTCTGCTCTCCCAGCCTCGGACACGCCTTGTACCAGCCATTGCAGCCATCTGGGAAGTGAACCAGCAGACGGAAGATCTTTTTTTCCTCTTTTGAGTTGTGTGTGTGTGTTTCGGGAGATCTGTTTCTTGGTTGCTCTGCTTTTTCTAACCAATAAATCCTTAGGAAGCTCCTGGGTCCTCTCCCGGAGTGCTCGGGCTCAGCTGCCAGCTCCCCATCCAGCTGCCTGCTGTGTAGACAGCAGGCAGTAGATAATGGCTCAAGGCTCTGGATTTGTGTCATTCCCATGGGAGGCTAGGATTCAGTCCATGGGGACACAAGGTGTGTGTGACCACGCCTCCTTTGGGTCTTCCACACGGGTACAGGGTCCCAAAGCTTTGGGTTTTCCTCCACTGCTTTCCCAGGCCACAAGCAGGGAGTTGAATGGGAAGTGGAGCAACTGGGATACAAACTGGTGCCCATATGGAATCCCAGTGCATGTAAGGCAAGGACTTTTAGCCACTAGGCTACTGTGCCAGGCCCAATAATTAATATTTTTAAAAAAAGAATTTTGTTTATTTGAAAGGCAGAGTTGTAGAGAAAAAGATTTTCCTTCCACTGGTTCATTTCCCAAGTGACCACAACCATTAGAGTTGGGCCAGGCTAAAACAGGAGTCTGGAGCTCCATCTGGGTCTCCCACAGCCTTGGGTCACTCTGTCGCTTTCCCCTGTGCACGAGCAGGGAGCCCGCTTGGAAGCGGAGCAGCTGGGATGCCAGTGCATGCTCATGTGGGATGCCAGCCCTGCAAACTGTGCTACAATGCTGGCCCCAGCTAGCGACTTCAATATGCCAAGCTTCCTGAGAAAAGTTCACACACTCAACATAGGAAAACGCTCCCTCTTGGTCAGCAGTCCTGCGAGGATGTCTGACATCAAGAAAGCAGACTGGGCAGGTGCTGGTGAGGCCGTGGAGGGCTGCGAAGGCTCACTGCCCACCGTAGAAGTGTGTGATCAGCCAGCTGCTGTGGCAAGCAGTCCTCACTGCACATGTGTGGGGTCACCCCCAAGGCCCCCAACAACGCCACAAGCCAGAACGTCCCCATGATGAACGACCATATTCAATCGCATGGAAGCTCTAAGTCCAACTTTCACTCCAATCACACGCAGTGCGGGCTCAGGGGAAGACCAACACGAACCCACCCCGGGCAGGGAGTGTGTGGCGCAGCCCCAAATCCACGGGGACACAGGCCTGTGCACAGGGTCTCCCTCCTGCCTGTGCCCAGGCCTCCACCTCGGGCCCAGGAGCAAGGCACATCCCAAATCCACAGGGACACAGGCCTGTGCCCAGGAGCGAGGTGCACCCCAAATCCATGAGGACACACACCTGCGTACAGGGCTCCACCACGGGTCCAGGAGTGAGGCGCACCTCAAATCCGAGGGGACACACGCCTGTGCACAGGGCCTCCCTCCCAGGCCTCCCAGGCCCAGGCCTCCGCTCAGGCCGCCCCTTGCTCAGATTCCTGGAAATCTGCTTTATCACAAACAGATCCTCATCAGACAGAAGCTGTCAGCCCACACCCAGAGAAGCATCACTCCTTGATGTTCAAGTTATCCAGAAAATGCAGAAGGAACTCAAGTGGCAGCCCACTGATATCAGCACAAAGTCATCCACTCCTTGAGGCACGTTGGCATGCAGGGAGTGAACAAAGCGGCCAGACGGGTCGCGACACGCCGGGACAGCAGCCGCCCGCCAGGGCCGCCCACGTCTGGCTCCACATGAAATGGATGCTTAGTGGTTGCCAGGGGATAGGAGGAGGGAACAATGGGAGTGGCTGCTAATAGGTATGGGTTTGGTCTTTCTGGGTGGGAAAGGATGATGAATTTTCCAGAAGCCGATTGTGGTGCTGCTTGTGCAATATGGTGACAGCACTAAACACACAGCACTGCGCATGTCAAGTGAATGAATGCACGGCGTGGGAACTACACCTCAGGAAGTGTGATTTTTTTTTTTTTTTTGGACCACTAGTTAGAAGGCTTGAGGAATGGGGGAAAGTGGATGAGACAATTGTTTCCAAATTTTTTTTTCCCTGTATGTGGAGGAAGGGAGGAGAGGGCCACTCCCAGCAGCCTAACTGCATCAATCCTGGAGATGTTGCAAAGGCCACTCAATGTCATCCTAGGGTCCCCAGTGTAGAGCATGTTCCCAAGGCATTTTTGATAGTTCTTGTTGATTTCATTGCTGCAAGGTTGAGTAAATTCTTCCAAGGTCAGGGCCCGGCGCGGTGGCCCAAGTGGTTAAAGGTCCTCGCCTTGCACGCCCGGGATCCCATATGGGAGCCGGTTCTAATCCCGGCAGCCCCGCTTCCCTTCCAGCTCCCTGCCTGTGGCCTGGGAAAGCAGTCGAGGACGGCCCAAAGCCTTGGAACCCTGCACCCGCGTGGGAGGCCCGGAAGAGGCTCCTGGCTTCGGATCGGCATAGTATCGGCCCATTGCGCTCTCTTGGGGAGTGAATCATCGGATGGAAGATCTTCCTCTCTGTCTCTCCTCTCTGTATATCCGCCTTTCCAATCAAAAAATAACAAAAATAAATCTTTAAAAAAAAAAATTCTTCCAAGGTCCAATGGCTCACACAGATCCCCCTAGAGTCTCCACTCACCCAGATACTTGCTGTCAAAGCTGGACTGGGAGAGTTGTTCAATCTGTTCTCCCCCTCCATGGTACTACATGTCCTCTGCAGGCCTCAAACGACCTGTCATGCCCCCATGTGCACCTGGATATGCCATCCACTGCACATGCGTTAGCAACTGAGGAAGGCCAATTCCAAATCCTGTGATTTTCTCCTTGGTTGGAGTTCTGAGACCAGCGGTCCAGTAGGGGAGGTCCCCAAAGAAACTGCACCAGAGGTGACCCCTGACTCAATTCCTGTTGCTCACCCTCTTCAGTCTACACACATACACGGGTGTACTGTTCTTAACCCCGTCTCATATGCAAACCAATGGATGCTGCAGCCAAGCCCAACTATCCACCATGCACTGTGCCTCATGTACACCAGCAAGAGCTGCAGTCTAGTCAGAATGACTCCCAGAACCTCCCGCCAGGCCCGCTGCCAGCCCTGGTTCCTGTGTATGCTGGCATGTGCAGCAGACCGATCCAGTTGGTCCCGTATCCTAATCTAGTTCTTGTACACATCGATGAGTGTTGGAACCTAGCTCAGCCTGACCGACCCCACTATCCAGCCCACACTTATGCTGGCAGGTGCTGCCACCTGTCTAGCCAGGTCACCCCCAGCCCTGGTTCTCCATGCTCACCAGTGGAAGCTGCAGCCCATAAGAGGGGTGTTTCCCTACTGGGCCCACGCCCAGCCCCAGATCTTGCACTCTTCATGAATTACTGTGTTCTACCCTGACAAGATTTGCCCCCATTCCCAGCACTTGCCAGTTGATGCTGCAGCAAAGCCCAGCCAGCCTGCACTTACTCTGCCTCATGCACCAGTGGATATGGTCAGTTGACCCAGCCTGGCTTTCCCCCTATCTCAGCGCACATTCAGGCCAGTGGCTGTTGGAGCCCAGTCCAGCCAGGTCCATCCCAGGTCCCAGCCCTAATGTGACCTGGATGGTGCTGTGGCCCATAACCTGCCCTGCACCCAGTCCTAGATCTCATGTCTGATGGTGCCTTCTATGAACTGGCTCAGGCCAGCCCACCCCCAGACCTGAACCACACATGATGCTGGCAGGTACTGTAACCTGGCCTGGTCTGAGCTGGGCTGCTCTCAACTTCAGTTGTTCTTGTGCTCACCTGCAGGCATTGGGTCCTGACAGAGGAGTTCCCCTGTGAAATTAGTCACAAAATGGAATCACTTTAGTTCAGGCCCGCATAAGTTTGTTAACCTGCTCTTTCTACTTCTGTGCAAAATGCTTTGCCATCTTCTCACTCTTTGGGCCAAAGCACGAGGAGTAACATGCCCTGCCAACAACCCTTGGTTTCATGAATTAATATTGTAAGGTCTGCTTCCCCATTGTTCTCGCGGCTGCCTCCTGTGGCAGCAAAACTCACCTGGTTCTCACAACTGTGTAACTCGCTCACTCTATAAAGACCCTTGTAACCCTCATCCCAAAGTCGCTGTCTGTGGAAAGGAGAGCTGACCCCAGCCGGCTGGTCTGTCTACCTGCCTGCTCAATAAGCTTTGCTGCTTTGCAGAGTTGTCCGGGCTGGACTTCTTGGGGAGAGGCTTGGCTCGGATGCAACACCCCAAGCTCCTCTATCAAGTCAGCTCCCAGTCTCAGATCTTTCTTGGCCCAGCCCGACTTGGCCCTCCTCCTGTCCCGGCAGGTACAGCAGCCTTGCCCAACTGGCCTGTACCTATTCCGGCTCTTACTGTTGTGTGCGACAGTCCAGTCCCACCCGGCACTCCCCCCAACGCAACTTTTGCATGGCTCACTAGGTGCCGAGACCTAGCCAGCTTGTCCTACACCTGCCCTGCCCCTCATGAGAGCTAGTGAATGCTGGAGCCTAACCCAGTCTGGCACACCCCAGGCCCAGTCCACATCCACGCCAAGGGATACTGTAGCCATGTCCAGCCCAGACTGCTACCACCATTCTGGTTCTCGTGTTCACTAGTGGGAACCTCTTCCCAGCCACGATGTCTTCTTAGCTCCCTGACCAGGTTTATTTCCAGCCATAGATCTTGTGCATGCTGGCGGTTACTTCTGCCCAGCTCAGCATAGTCCATCCTCTGGCTTGGCCTTCGCCTTCAGCTGCTGCAGCCTGGTCTTATCTGGCCAGCTCCCAGTCCTAACTCTTGCTGGTAGGTGCTGCAGCCTAGCCCTGTCCAGCCTGTCCCCACCCCTGGCTTTCATGCAGACTGGTATATGTATAGCCTAGCCTGGCATGGCCCACATCCTGGCTCCTACACATGCCAGTGTTCTACTGTCTGGCCTGGCCTTGCCCAGTCCACTGCCTCAGAGCCAAC